TGAAGTGCCCCATGAGGGCTGCCATGGTGTGCTGGGGTGCCAGTGTGCGCCTTGCTGGGCACCTTGCCGGCCCCAATCCCCTGTGCTGGCGCAGCCCGTGCCTCCCCCAGCATCGCCCTGTATGCCCCATGGCACAGACCCCCAACAGCCCCTTACCCCTCGGTGCCAGGTGGTGGCATGCGCTCCCCCAGGGCTCCTGCGGGCTCTGCAGTGGTGATGTCTTCCTCATCGGAGGAGCCGGCGCTGGATGCCTCTGCATCGCTGTCTGCCAGCAGGATCAGCCGTGGCCTGGCCCTGTGAGCCCCACAGAGCATCCCAGGGCAGCCCTGGGGGCAGCACCCTCTTGCCTCACTCAGGCAAGAAGAGGAGGAGGATGAAACCCAGCCATGCACAGTCTCCTTACCCCTCTCCGCCTGCCTCTGCCAGGCTGCTCTCCTCTGCAGTGCTTTCCTTCCCCAGTTTGCAGAGGTTCATCTTTGTCTCAAGTGTCATCTGCAATGAGCCGCTGTAGGTGACCTCCAGGTCCACCCAGAGCCCTGTCAGGGAGAGGGATGGGGCACGCCCCTGTCAACACGCAGGACCGAGGGCTGCTCGTGTGCGTGACAAAACCTCCCTTCTTTGGAGACTGGGCTGGCATCTCGATAACAGCTGCTGTGAAGACAGCCCTGGGGTCCCTGCCACTCTGCGGGGCTCTTACCTTGGTCATTGATAGTGGGGTTGGAGGCACTGAGGACTGAGGGGATGGATGTGCCCATGTCCAGCTCTGTCAGCGCCAGCTCATTCATGAAATATGGGAGCTGATGGAGGGAAACCACACGGGAATGATCACTGCAGCCTGGCACCTGCCATGGGACCTTGAGAATGGGACAAGGCTCCCACGGGTGCTGTGATGCTCCTGCCTCTCACCTTGATCTTGCTCAACTTCTTCTGGATCTTGCTGGACACCTGCTCAGCCCAGTATCGCTCCCGGAGGAAGTCCCAGAAGATGCGCCCCACCAGCGCGTTCATCCAGGCCATGCACGCCTCGCTGCGCCCAGCCGTGTCCTCGCCAAGCTGCGGAGGGTAGGAAGCCACGAGCCCCTGGGGTGAGGGTAGGACCTCGAGTGGTGGGACCCGCTGGCTGGGTGCTCTCGTGCAGCACAGCTTGGCTGCTCAAACCGCGGCACCGGGAGGGAGGAGAAGAACCACAGAAGCAGCACACAGGGTCTGTCAGCCACCGCTTAGCACTCGGGTCCTGCTCCCAGCGTTGGATTTGTCCCACTCACCTTTGTGGGTGTAGGGCTGCCCAGTTCTCCGTGAGAGGGGCTCCGGTCCGGGCTGCCCCCCACTTGCGCTGGCACGAATCGGGCCATGTAGGTGCTGTAATCCAGGAAAATCTTCTGTCGGACGCTTCCCGCCAGGTCCTTGGGTGGGATGGTGGAGGGGATGTCTTCGGCGCTCCCTCCGCTGCTGCTGCCACTGCTCCGCAGAGCCGCTCCCATGCCTGGGGACATGAGCCAGGTCAGGATGGCATGAGAGGCGACACACTGCCTGGCTGTGAGGCACGCACGGTGACATGCTGCGGTGCACGTATGGTGATGTGATGCCAGTGACGCGCCACCCACCCTGTGCTGGCGAGGGGGATCCTCCAGGCTCTCTCTGCTGCTGCAAACACTCTTGGCTATGCTCTGGGCTCCTTCACGCCCCCCCCCGCTCACGGCTGCCTACCAAGGGCTTCTTGTCCCCGCACACGTGCAGCTTTCATCCCTGATCAGTCACGGTGCAGAGCCAAGGCCATGGTGGCTGCTTCTCACCTGCCCTGGCTTCACCGCAGCTGCTGCTGGGTGTCCGGTGGGAGGCTCGCACGAGGTGCTGGTACCACTCCTCCTTCTCCCTCCCCGTCCGCCCAAAGAGGTACAGGCACCTCTCCCCGCAGTCCCCTGGGATGTCCTGCCCTGGCACCGGTGTCTTCTTTGTCCCTTCGTCCCTCTGCGGCTCTGCGTCGTGCTCCTTGCTGCTCCTGCACTCTACCTCCACTGGGTCAGGGAGGAGGACGCAGATGGGGTATTTCTGGTTCCACGTCCGCTTTCGGGCCAGGCTGGGGGGGCAGAGGAAGACCTGCAACACCAAGAGCGGCAGTGAGGCCGGGTCAGGGCGTGGGGCATTGGGGGTCCCCGTGGGAGGGTCCTTGGCACCACCAGGGTCACCTTGGCGTCGGTCAAGTCGTAGCAGCGGTGGCTGATGAAGGTGGTGTCAAGGATTTCTTCCTCAAAGGTGGCTCGGCGTGGGATGTTGCTCTTGGGGTAGGAGAGCTTGAGGGTGGCCCCATCCAGCGTGGCGAGCACCGAGTGCGTGAGCGAGGGGTGGAAGAGCTCAGGGTCGTAGAGGTGCAGCTGGTTCATCCAGCCCTGGGAGGGAGGAGAGGGAGCTGGCTGCTTCCCCCTGTGCCGGACGGGGAGGCAGCCTACACCCACTGCAGGCTCTGCACCCATGCAGTGCTGCCCCCTGCCCCCTGGGCTCCCCTCCAGCCGCTGCCCAGCACCCCATCCCGGGCCACCCCTCTCCTACCTGGAGGCGGTGGGTTTCCCTTGGCTCTCCTGGCAGCAGCTCGGGATGCAGACGGCCCCGTGGTCCCCGTGCCACTGGCAGAGGCTTCGGCACGAAGAGGACGACGGCGAGGAAGCCCAGCACCAGCCCGCAGATGAGCCCCAGGCAGAGGCCAGCGGCATAGGGTGGCAGTGGCAGGGCAAAGTAGCCGTAGGCGAGGAGGGCAATGGAGGCGAGAGCTCTGCCTGGCACCGTGGCCCCCGGCCGTGCTGGCGGAGGCTCCTTGGGGGGTGGCAGCCGGGGTTCGGCACCCTGCTGTGCCACCTCCACCACCTGGATCACGTCCCCGTAGGAGCAGATCTCGTAGCGGCAGTTCAGGGGGGGCTCCCAGGGGCTCCAGTCCCGTGCCCGGCGTCCCCCAGCCCCACGGCCGCCCCCCTGCCCGGGAATGCCCCCTGCCTCTTGCCCCCCGGTGCCTGCCTTCACCCGGGGCATGGGGCCGCTCTCCTCGGCCATGAGCCGGCTGAGCCGGCTGAGGGGCTCCTGCACGGCCTCTGACAGCCGCCTTTTGGTGTCCTCCAGCCTGGCCTCCCGCAGCCGGAGCAGGGCAGCGCGGCTCTCCGATGGGGAGACACTGGGGGAGGACGGGGCCGTGCGGGACTTGGCAGGGCTCAGCCGGGGCTGGGGGGCCCGCGGGAGGTCGGCCAGGAGCATCCCCCTGGGCTGGGGTGAGGAAGGAGCCTTCACATCCCCGTCCATGGTGAAAACGAGCCTGCAGCCGTCCTGGCTGCCGCCATCCTCCCTGCTGCTGGTGGGATGGGGCATTAGCCCATCGGTGTCCCCGTGCCGAGGTGAGCCTGGGGATGGTGCCAGGGCTGGAGAAGCGTCTGCTGCCATCGCAGCCTGGTCTGCCATCGCTCGCATTGCCCAGGGTGCCGGTGCTGCTGAGGGAACAGGAGGAAGTAGCTCAGCCTTGTGTCCCTGTCCCGGTCCTGCCTTCCCCCTCAGCGTCACTGCAAGCTGCTGAGCAGGAGTGGGGTGTCCCCAGGGATCTCATCACTGTGGGCTGAGTGAGCCCTAATTCGGGATGCCCCTCAGAGCTCATGGCTCTCCCTGCACTTCCCAGCAGGGATGGGACAGAGAAAGCACCATGGTAAAATGAGCTCAATGACAGTGTGCAGGGAACCATTTGTATAATGAGGATGAACCTCAGTCAGGCAATTAGTGATGGGGTCTCCAAAGAACCTGGGGCTGTGAGCCAGGTCTGCAGCAAAAAAAGGGGGATTCTTCCCCATCAGGCCATTACGGTGGTCCCAGGGCAAGTGCGGGGGCTGCGAGGAAGGACGCAATGCCAATGGGCAGGACTCTGACTCCTCTAAATGTTTCTTACTTAACAACAGTGCTTTGGCCCTTGCTTAATAAACCTGACAAGAAAGAAGCCCAAGCTGTGGCCCCAGTTCAGCATGACGATGCTCTGGAAGCAAGGGGTCAGTAATCTCTGGTTTTACTGGAGGGGCACAAAAGTTTTCCCAACACATAAAGTTTCCGTAGCCCTGAGGGTGTTCCTGGCCATGGCAGAGCATTGTCCCATCCCCAACAGCCACCGTGATCCCTCCATCACTGCACTCCTGCCAGAGCAATGGGGCCGGCCCTGCTCCTGAGCCGTGCATGTGTGCATTTGGGGGAGAGGATGGAGGCTGCACGATGGGCTCTGCAGGGGCTGAGCCCAGCACCCAGTGTGTTCATGGGGTGCTCGAGCTCTGTTGCTGCCCCCTTCCCCTCGCAGCATCCCTGCAGCAGGAGCGGGGATACTGTCCCATGGGAGCTGGGGCTGGGCAGGACCCTGCCCTGGTGGGTGCTGCCCCTCGGCATCCACATCACCCTGGATCTTCAAAGCCCTTCACTGCCGCATATTAATTACAGGCTGTGCTGCAGCTGCCACCAGCACCGTTTATATAATCTCACGCTTTGTGGCTTTTGCTTTGCTTCTGATTTACAGGAGCCACTTGTTAACCCCAAATAATCTGCAGACGATCACCCTGGTGATACCCAGCGAGAGAAACCCTGGCTGTGGGGCTGTCCCCATCCATCCCATGGGCAGGGCTGCCAGCACCACCGGCAAGCCCCGGCAGACGGAGCAGTCTAGGGCACCCTGCAAAGCACCGAAACACCAAAACGGAGCGAATGGGGAAAAATGAGTGGCAAAGCTGGGCCTGGGAAGAGACCCCTTCCTCGATGCCATGGGGCCCTGTACACCTTCCCCCCAAGCATGGCAGGTGGGGGGCAGCCCCCCACTTACCCCTCATACCAGTTTCCCGGTGCTCCCAGTGCCACAGCCATCCCCCAGTATCCCCTGTGCTGCCCGTCGCCCTCCCCAGCGCTCGACTGTGCCTACCAGCAAGCCCCAGAGCTGGTCCTGGGCTGGTCCTGCCCGGCTGCCGCTGCCCGACCCTGCCTGGTTAGGGGGATGCCGGCCCCCCTACGCTTGACGAGGGCTCAGTGCTCCGCTCCACCATGCCTGGCTTTCGTTACCACTGCTCTAGTATTTGTGGGTTTTAAAAGCTAAAAAAAAAAAAAAAAAGACGACTGTTTCCTGAGAGACCATTAGCACAGTGGAAGACGGAGATAATAATAGCCTGGGTTTGTATGGGAGTTTTCATCTGGCAGGGACGTCAAGTACAGCGGGGGCTATAGCTTTGCTGCTGAAACACCGCCACTTCTGGGGAGCGTGGGTGGCCGGGAGGGTGGGGAGCACCAGGGATGGACCCCGCTGGGTGCCACGTCTGGGCCACCAGCACCCCGAGATGGAAGGCCCACATGGAGTGGCCCCGGTGAAGGCTTTGCTGCTGGCTCAGGGTTTGGAGAGGAAATATCGAGCCCAGAGGTGCCCCTGGAGCCAGCGCCTTGGTGTCAGCGCTAACCCACCTTCCAGCCCAGAGCTCGTCCCCAGCCAGCAACCACGGGGGTGCGCAGGGTGGGGGGATTCTCTTTGCTCCTTATAGGATAAATCAAATATGAAGGTCCTTGCAAGCATTTTCATCAAATGCCGGGGGTAGCTGGGTGGGCACGGGTGGGTGATGGGTGGATGGGGACGGCAGCGGCTTCAGATGTGTTGTGGGAAGGGCCTCGGGAGCTGTGAGCTGAGGAGGGA